TAAATAAATAAATAAATAAATGTTATAACTTTGAGATCTGCAGATAATCTTGGCCTCAAATATGCAAACTTGAAAACTCAGATAGCCATGTTGATCCGTAAGAGTAAAATAAATTCACAGGAAGGTAATATGTTTATTATGTTCAATCAAAAGTCCACAAAATACAAGCTTTTAGATTCTCTGTAATGTTTCCAGGCTAAGGGACATTATGGGGTAGAGTATGAACTTCCAAAATTTGAGCCAGATATCCTCAGTCATAAGGACTGCAGTTAAACTGACTTCCAGACTGGAGACACAGAGTAGGTGGTTAATGTGTAGGGATCAAATTACAACTGACAGTGTAAATTGGTATGGAAAGAAAATGGTGATGTACCTTTTTGATAGGCAAAACATAGGTTAGCTTGTGAGATTCACCATTTCTTTAGGCAAAACACAGGTTCCTGAAGCAACATAAGCAGAAATATAAAGAAACAACATAGTCCTCAGATAAACAAAGCTGTAGATTAAAATTTTGGTCATGAACAAGATAGTTGTTGATGCCATATGTGAAGGAGTTCCCCTCTGGAAGAGTAAAGATAACACTTCTGTGATATCGTCTGGAAAAAATCAAGGAGTTAATGTTCATTCAGCAAACACAGTGTTATAAACTACGTATATCCACCATTAACTTTCCACTTAAGGCATTTATAGGGGAATCAATGTTAATTCCAAATGTCCTTTCCCAAGTGGTTAGAAGGGGGTAACTTCAAACACTCCCCCCCCACACACAATACACTTGTCATCCAAACCACAGTTACATAGTTACGGTCATACTTTAGTCTCCCATCTTTAATGTCTCGACTTGGGGTCAAACCCAGACAATTGGACTCTTCTGAGCCACTTAGCCAGTGTGTAGCGTTGTGTTGGCATTGCCAGTCTCCTAATTGGCCAAAAGAGGGTTGAGTTCAGAAACCACATAGACAGCATTTGTCACGGAGTCTGACTATTCTGCTGTCCATTTGCAGGCATCAGCTCAATCTTCTACCTCACTTTCTCACCTGTTTTTGGACTGCAACTCCCATAAGCCTTCACCACCAGCTGTGCTGGTTGGGGTTTCTGAGAGTTGCAGTCCAAAAACACCTGAGTAACCCAAGGTTAAGAACCACTGTTCTACCTGACTTTCTCACCGTCCTGCCAACTGTCTGCAGCTTTCTTATATTACCTGCTTTGTAGGAACTTTCCCTGGTGGGCTTCTCCCCGCTTTTCTTCTCTTTCTGCCCTTCCAGGTCTCCAGCCTTTTGGTCCCACTAGAGCACTCAGACTTTTAGGATGTAGAGCTAATATCTGGGAGAAGGGATCCACCCCATATAGCTTTGGCACAGACCTTTGGAGAGCTAGTGGGATGTAGAGGTAGACCTTTCTTGAATTCCCCCACTCAACCCTTACAGTTATAAAAGCTAGTACTTGGTACCTTATTTTTTATTCCCTTTCCTCTCCAGGGCTAATCGGTAAAACTTTGCTGTGGTGCTTTCTATTTTAAAAGCACTCTTCTTGCCATGTTGCTCCTGACACTCAGTCCCTATGATTGAAAGGTTTGCCACCACTTTGACTCTTGGAAAAGCAAATCTTGGTTTTAGCTTGGAGATATGTTGGAATTCAAGCTGGACAGAATGGCTCCACTGTAGTTGTGCACTGTCAAGCCAGTTCTGACTTATGGCAACCCTTTTCAGAATTTTTTCAGTAAAGTACTGAGAAGTGGCTTACCATTCCCTTCTGGGGGCATCCTGGGACTGTGCAGCTTGTCCAAGGCCACACAAGCTGGCTCTTCTACGATGCACACTGGGAACCAAGCTTCTAATCTCTGCAGCCCAGAAATCTAACTCTCTGAGCTATCCAGTCAGTCTCCATTTTAGTTCTCTTGTACTATATTAACTCTTGTTAATATATTGATGAATTAGTGGCAACAATCTGTCTTTAAACTCGCTCTTTACTAAAATATCCCCTGGGCTTCCTTTTTTTTTTTTTAAAGGAAATCTATAATCTTTCCTGAAAACCTTCCATGCTTTCCAAAATGTGCCAATGCCTCTTTATGAAATTCTGTAATTTGTTGTTGACATGATCATATGTTAAAACAGAGTTAACATTGTATATAGATTATTACTATTTTTTTGATCACTCTGTGTGGTATTAAACAACAACTCTGTTGGTTGTTGTAGGTTTTTTGGGCTCTTTAGCCATGTTCTGAAGGTTGTTCTCCCTAACGTTTCGCCAGTCTCTGTGGTCGGCATCTTCAGAGGACAGCACTCCTCTGAAGATGCTGGACACAGAGACTGGAGAAACATTGGGAAGAACAACCTTCAGAACATGTCCAAAGAGCCCGAAAAACCCACAACAAACATTAGATCCCGGCCGTGAAAGCCTTCGCGAATACAACTCCTCTGTTGTTTCGCCTTGTCCCCGGGAACTGAGTCTGCTCTGGAAGGTAGGTTTGTCCAGGTTCCTCTGCCCTGTGAAGGAAGTTCTGGAAAACAGGCATCATCTTAGGATCTGGTGATCCACTGTGGGGAGTGGGAGCCTTCATCGTCCCTAAAGGAGAGAGTGGGTTCTCTCTCTCTCTCTCTCTCTCTCTCTCTCTCTCTCTGTGTGTGTGTGCGTGTGCGCGTGCACGCGCACGCACGCACGCACTGTGGATGAGGTGGGAGCTAAAAAGAAAGGCTATCACAGGGGACTATGTCAAAGATCTAGCATTCCCCAAACCACTTTTAAGCACAAGTATGATGGGAATATGAGATGTCACAGGCAATGAGGTGAAAGAACAGCAAGAGCATAAAAGTAACTTAATTGTCACAGGTAAACTTTGCCTGTGCCCAGTTGTTAGTTCTAGAATTGCAAGACTTGTTTAATTGTACATATCCATCATTCATGCCTTGATTTTCAGAGTTAATGTTTCATCCGTCCTCTCCCGCCTGCCCCCAGCACCACCCCAGCTAGCAGCAGAAGAGCCGAGGGGTGCTGTGGCGTTGAAATGGCCCGGTTGGCTCTGGCCTCCTCCTGCTCTTGCTCAACGTCTCAAGAGTAGACCTTTGGTCTAGATGGGCAGGATAGAAATCCAATAAATAAATAAATAAATATTACCAGACAACCGCAGCCATTGTCCTAGCTCTGATGTTGAGGGGAAGTCTGAGGATGTATCTGGGTGAAACCAGGGCACACCTTCCTATCCCTCATCTAATTCACCTTTCTGAAGCAGATGGAGGGTCAGAAATCAAGCCCTCAAGGCTGCTCCATATCTGTCTGGGGCTTTCACATCCATTTAATCCTGTAAATTGAATATAATCCTGTTTCTTTAGTACAAAAGGTGTTGTCTGCTATTAATTCTTTCTGGATAAAGTTGGTTCTTCCTTTAAAACATGGGATGTCTCTTCAGACAAGAGACATCCAGGGAATTCATTGGGAAGATCCTTTCTGTACATTGTGTACATTACTGCTTGGAGGGAGTGTAAAGGTGATTGGGTAAATGGAGTGAAGAAGCCACAAGAACAAGGGAAATGTGCTTTCATCTTTCTCCAGGAGCCTTATTTCCCAGTAGAAGGCCACCCACCCATCATCCAGTTTCTCTCCATCCATATGGATGTTTTGTGATTGAAAAAGGCTTTCGAATCCTGCAGTGTTGAAGGCAAGCAACGTTTAGAGGGAGAAGCAGTGGGTAGCTGACATCTCTCTGCAGCAACATCCTGGCTCCCAATGCTTTCTTCCAGCCTGGGAGCTTGTCTGCTTCCACATAAAATGTATGTCTGAGCCCTGAATTTAAGCCCACCTTGCTAACCACAGTGTTGGTCTTCCTTGAGCACACTGTTTAATGGGAGGGAAAGGGGATGTCCCACTGAGACAAAAGACATCCTTTTATTCCTTCCTCAGGATTCTGAAGACCCCACCAGACTGGTCCCACATGGTCCCTCCTCCTCCTTTGGTTCTCATCTTCGCTGCTATCTGACAATGCTGTGGGAAGATGACACAACAAGTCAGAAACTGAAGTAATAAGACTCCCACTGAACAAAGCCAGGGCTTCAGTAACTAGTCCTGAATCCTGTTTGCAACTGTTGTCCCAGAAATCTGCAAGCAGATCACAGAATAAACCATCACCTCCCATCCTTTGCTTTCTGACAGCTGGTAGACCAGCAGGAATCAGCCTAAAGGAATCATTTCGTTCGTTCGTTTGTTTAGTCGTTTAGTTGTGTCCGACTCTTCGTGACCCCATGGACCAGAGCATGCCAGGCCCTCCTATCTTCCACTGCTTCCCAGAGTTGTGTCAAATTCATGTTGGTCGCTTCGATGACACTGCCCAGCCATCTCATCCTCTGTCATCCCCTTCTCCTCTTGCCTTCACACTTTCCCAACATCAGGGTCTTTTCCAAGGAGTCTTCTCTTCTCATGAGATGGCCAAAGTACTGGAGCCTGAGCTTCAGGATCTGTCCACCAAACTTTGCCCCATAATCCCTGCCACTGCCCTAGCTCTGATGTTGAGTGAAAGTCTGGAGGTTATTTGGCAGATATG